CTTAGTGTCCATTGATAGATGGACGGTTAAAGATATGGTACATATATATAATGGAATATTACTCAGCCATAAAAAATGGAATCTTGCCATTTGCTACAACATGCATGGACCTAGAGAGTAATATGGAGACTGGACTGGCTGGTGCCCAAAAAGATGGGGGTTGGATGACTGGATAAAGAAAGTGAAGGGATTAGCTAAAGAACATTGATGCATATTCCATGAACACAAATAAATTTGGTGAAGGCCACAGGAGGGGGATCTGGGAGTGGGTGGAGGTGGGAAAAGTGGGGTGGGAAAGGGAGACACTTGCAAGAAATGTCAACAATAAATTTTTTTAATAAATAAAACTAAAAAATATAAGTGAAATAAGTCAGACAAATACAAATACCATTTGATTTCACTTACATGTGGAATCTAAAAAATAATTAAACGAACAAACAAAACAGAAACAAATTTGTAGATACAGAGAACAAATTGATGGTTGCCAACTGGGAGAGAGGTGGGGAAATGAGTAAAAAGGGGGTTGGGATTAAGATGTACAAATTGCTGGTTGAAAATACTATCAAAGGAGCCCTGGCCGGTTCGGCTCAGCGGTTAGAGTGTCGGCCCGCGGTCTAGAGAGACCCGGGTTCGGTTCCCGCTAAGGTCATGTACCTCGGTTGCAGTTTGTCCCCGGCCCTGGTTGGTCGTGTGGGTGGCAGCCACTCGATGTGTCCCTTTCACATCGATGTTTCCCTCTCTCCCTCTCTTCCTCTCTCTCTCTTCCACTCTATCTGTACAAAAAAATGGAAAAATGTCCTCAGGTGAGGATTAAAAAAAAAAGAAAATACTATCAAAGGAATATAAAGTAGTGCATAGGTGTGAACCTTAAGAAAGAGGATACCTACTAAAAAGGGCTCCTGGTGGCTAAATGGGCTCAAATTTTATTTTATTCTTTAAATTATTTTTTCTTTATTTATTTTAGAGAGAGAGGGAGAGAGAAACATCAATAAGAGAGATCATCGATTGGCTGCCTCCTACATGCTCCCCACTGGGGATTTGGCCCACAACCTGGGCATGTCCCCTGAGTGGTAATCAAACTGGTCACCTCTTGGTGCATGGTCAACACTCAACCACCAAGCCCACACTGGCCGGGCTAAGCTCAACTTTTAAAAAGTAGAACCTAGCAGCCATTTCCACACAGGGTCTCTCATGCAAATTGCGCTTCAGAGAAAAGCCTGAACTGCCTGACTACTCTCTAATTCTGCCATCTGAGCTGGCCCTTATAATGGAATTCCTGGAATCCTGTCAACCAATAGGACTGAGGCTTTTATTATCCAATCAGAGCTGTAAGTTCCAACAAACCAGAGTGGCTCTATGCTGATCAATCAGGACAATGCTTTTGGAACAATCAAATTGCAAGGATTTGGAGTCCTCATTTGCATGAGATGGAAAAATTAGGGATGGGCAGGGATTTCTGCCTACAAAAACCAGCTCCCTTCTGGATGGGTCAGCACACTTTCCTTTTCCACTGAAGGCTGCATTTCCCTGGTTGAGCTGAAAAATCTAAGATGTCTTGCTGTAACAGAGCAGAGCAGAGCAGACCAGCACAGTCCAGACAGACTGGCACAGAACTGAGCAGACCAAAGCACAATGGAGCAGATGAGCACAGTGCAAAGCAGACTGGTAAGGAGCAGAGCAGAGAGCAGCCCGTGGAGGAGCAAAACAAATCAGAGCTGTCTAGCTGGGGAGGGGCCAGGCCCCAAAGGCTGCCTGGCACCAGGGCTGTCTCACTGCCATGCTGTTTTCACAGCCGTGATGTATCACAATTAAGCTGTTTGGCACTGAATACAGTTTTCTTCTTCACTGCACCCCAAATTAGAATTCCTGTTGGCATTGAATTGTCATCAATAACCATTGACTGACATAGGGAATACAGTCAATAATATTGTAATAATAATGTATAGTACTAGACTTATTGGGGGATCATTTGTTAAGTTATGTAAATGTCTAATAATTATGCTATATGCCTAAAAATAATATAAAATTGTATGTTAACTGTAATTGAAAAACTCAAGCAAACTTTGAAGATAACATACATATATAAAAGCTTATATTAACCAACGGGAAATGTATACTTTTCAAATTACATGAAAGTTTTATAATTATTGACTCATATTAAATCAAAAAGATTTTTTTTTTGGATATCAAACATAGTATCACGTGGACAACATTGTTCACCACAATATAGCTAAGTTATTTTAGACTTTATAAAAAGTATTTTGAGCCTGGCCAGTGTGGCTCAGCAGTTAAGCATTGACCCATGCATCAAGAGGTTGCCGATTTGATTTTCAGTCAGGGCACAAGCCCAGGAATGTGGGCCAAATCCCCAATGAGGTGCATGCAGGAGGCAGCCAGTTGATGATTTTCTCATTGATGTTTCTAACTCTCGCTCTCTCTCTCTCCCTTCCTCTCTCTCTAAAAATCAATAAAGAAATTTTTTCAAAAGTATTTTGATAATGTTATTTTTACTTAGATGGATAACTCTATTGTGGTTATGTAAGATAATGCTCTTATTCTACATTAATTCATGCTGGGGAAAAAGGCTCCATGATGCAATTTACAACTTACACTCAAGCAAAAAGAGAGGACAAGTGATAATATGATACAACATTTGTAAATCTAAGTAAAGAGAATATAGGTGTTTCTTTGTATTATTCTCATTCTTGCAACTTTTTTGAAAGTTTGAAAATATTTTCAAATAATATATTAAAATATTTACAAGTGAAGATGAAATAAAGATAACTTAGATGAACAAAAGCGGAAGAAAATTCAACAGGCTAAACAGAAATATCAGAAACAGAGAGAAAAATAGAGAGTTTGGGAAATGGTAAATATGTGAAAACAATGAAATATATTTTTTCTTTCCTTAAATTCCTTATATAACAATTGAAAATTAAAAATAATTTATACTGTGGTATATAACACTTGGAGGAGTGAAATAAAACAACATTGCAAAGGTGTTAAATGAAATTTTACTGATATAAGGTTCTTATATTATATATGAAGGGATGTAACATTAATTCTAGATCATGATAATTAAGGAATGCTAATTGGAACCTCTAGAGAAACCACTGAAATAAAGGGGAAGGAATAAAAAGCTATGACAAAAAAAACCCCAACAATATGAGACAAAAAGAAATACTAAAATTAACCACTGATCCAAGTGTAGCAAGGAGGACCAAAGCAGCACTTCATTGATGGAACAAATAGAATATTAATAGCAGAGTAGTACACTTCATCTATATCCATAGTTATCAGCACCTTTTTTTTTTTTTTTTTTTTTGGTGATACGTGCCCCTACGGGAACTGAACCCAGGACTCTCTTGTCCGCAGACCCACGCTCAACCGCTGAGCCAAACTGGCCAGGGCATCAGCACTTTTGATAAACATAAATCAACTAAACCTTTTAATGAAAAGGGAGGGATTATCTGATGGGATAGAGAAAAGATACCCATCAGTATGCTGTTTTTCAGAGTCATACTTTAAAATTTAAGACAGATAAGCTGAACACAAAAAGAGGGATACTATTTAAAAAAAAAAAACTTCGGAGGTTTTTTATGCACAATTATGTTGCATTGAAAATGCTTTCTGTTGTTATTGGAATAGTAAGAAGTTATATAGCTAACTGGAGAGAGGAAAGTAAGCTGTCTAGATTTCATTTTAACAACCTCATGGGGATGGCTGTGATATAACATAATTCCAATGCTTATGATCCTGGTTTAGGGCTAAATAGTACTATTCCCATGTAACAACAACAATAAAAATCTAAATGCCTCCAAAGGCCATTAGCTAGTAAAATAGATTAAATTATATTAAATGTATTAATTGGACAATATGTAAGCATTAAGATTAAATTGAAATAATTAATATGCGATACAGCATAAAATAGTTTACAAAACAGCATGTATAAAACAAAGGTTCATGAATATACACAGATATGTTTGTATATTATTAAAAACAGAAAAATATGTACATAAAATATATCTCCTGGAAAATAAAATTATATTTATTTTTCTGTATTATTTTGTCTATTCTTTCCTGTTATTGTTTTCATTAAAACTCATTTAAAAATATAAATATTGCCTTTTATGAGCTAAATTTAGAACATTATGGCAGTCACTGAGAGACCTCATGGAAAAATATCAGTGATAACAGACACTGAAATAAGACTTTTTAACTTCCTATCCAATATAATGAACGAAAAAAGAAGCTGATAAACTAAATAGACCCAGAGACATAGACAGGAATATGGTTCAGACTGACAAACTTCAGAGGTGGGGGTGGAGGGGAGGAATGAGATAAACCAAAGAATTTATATACATGGATGCATAACCAATGGACATAGACAATAATGCTTGGCTGGGAGCCCGGGGGTGAGGGGATAGTGAGGAGGGTGTCTGGGGGAAAAGGAGAAACATCTGTAACAAAAACAAATTAATAAAAATATTTTAAGTTCCATAATTAAATGAATATTCTTATTCATTATTATTAAAATATAGAGCTTCCACCAGGAAACTCAAGTGTTTATAAAGCATAAAATAATCTTATAAAATAAAATACTCAATAACAAGGATCACCAATTGAGTAATAAATGAAGTAATTTGTTTTAAAATGGTAATCATTTTAAGAAAAAAAATTTCACCAAAATTTGGGGTGGATTCAGAAATATCTGCAGCTAGTTATAATCCAATAGGTTACAATGTAGTAGAAGCCTTCCATACATACAAAATTATGCATTGTTACTAGAATTCCATACTGATTAAAGTATCAATATCATCAATACTGTTCCCCCTGCTTTAATGAAGAAGCTGTTGACATTTCTTTATGCCCTGCTGTACTGAGATACATATTTTGAACACAGTAAAATATAGCTGTACTGCAAAGAAAGGATGTTTCTTTTTCTTATTTCCTTTGTATTTAAACACAAAGATAAAATGAAATGTATTAATAATGCATACCAAGGCTTTATCCATAATGATTTGTATTTTCAGAGTTTTTCTCAATTGTTCAACATCTGGTTTTGTCTGTGAAATAGAGGCCATGAATTAAATAAAACATTTTAAAAATTCTTATATTGTTTGTAATTATGGACATTTTATATGTACACACAGAGAGGTAAGATAGATGGATGGGTGGATGGATGGATGGATAGATAGATAGATAGATAGATGATAGATAGATAGATAGATAGATAGACAGACAGACAGACAGACAGACATAAAGATACAGATAATAGGAAAATAAGAGGGTGGATGCAAACTGAGTAAATAGGCAGGTGAGATTCCAAATAAATATTTTAGAAACAAATCAGAATTTTTACTTTATATTTTTGACCATTAGAATCCTCAAAAAAAACAAAATTACTCCACTGAGGGAGAAGCATATTTCCTTCCTCTCAAAATTTTTCTTGAGGATCCTCCTCCAACCTGCAAGCTAACAAACTTCCGTCAACTTTCTCCCAAGAACTGCTTCTGTTCTCTCATTATTTTTATGCTTTTATTTTATATTAATTTTATTGTGGCTTACATGCAATAAAATGCATCATTTTAAGTATACAGTTATATGTACTGGTATTAATGTATAAAGCCATGTAACCATTTCCATAAATAAGACAAAGAATGTTCCCATTACCGTCTTCCAAGTCTATAACCTACATAGCTCAAGGCAACCAATTATCTGATTTTTTTTTTCAACATAGGTTAAAATTATCTATTCTAGAATTTTGTATAAATGGAGTCATATGGTATGTACTCATTTCAATCTGGCTTCTTTCATTCAGCATTCATATGTGTTATTGGGATTATTAGTAATTCATTTGTTTTTTTCTAACTAGTGTGCCATTGAAGATATACATTGAAAATTGTTTATATCTATTATTCATTTGGCCTATGTAGACATTTTAGCTATTATAAATAAATCTTATAACTATTAATATACAGGTCTTTGCGTGTGTGTGTGTGTGTTTTTTTCATTTTTCTTGATACTTAGAAATGAAATACCTAAATCATACAGTAATTGTGGGTTGTGTAAAGTGGTAGGAAAGTGCCAGATTTTTGCTGGTTATTTGATCATTCTGCATTTTACCAAAAATTAATAAGTGCCAATTGTTTCACATCTTGCCTACTATTTGGTAATGGAAGAATTGGAAAGAAGGACTATATGCAAAGCTGTTAAAACAATATGAGGCACCTAAGAGTCAGCATGCAAATATAAAATATATCAACATTGGTTTTCATTCACTTTGGATTTTGGATTTTCTTATTCGTTTATATTTATATTCATTCATATTGGCCATGTTTATGCCTTTCTAGTTATTGTTTTTATTTTAGAACACATGCAGTTCTTTCAATTCAAACCTTTCTTACAAGAGTAGGCTTTACTCTAATTAATATCAGTTTAAATTTTTTTCCAAATGTAACAAATTTCTATGTGAATGAGTTTATCAAAAGTAGCAAAAATGAAGATTTCAGAAAATGGTTGCTTACTTGTGACTTCACAAGAATCTTGTAGGGCTGATCTCCCAATTGAATCATAGGATAACTTTCTTGTAAGGGGGGAAAATCAGCTTTATTATTCTTTATTTGATAAAGCATATGCTCATATGTAGCTGCAGATTCCAATGGTTCAATTCCATAACTGACATTCTCCAACTGCAATAATCCTCTGAATAATTAAATGCATAAAAAGACATAACAGTAGTTAATAGAGATTTCCCACTGAGAAACATAAATCAATACTGAATAAAAACATTTTATAGAAATTTGATAGTGGACTTTATGGACTAATTTAATCTAAAAATCACCCAATTTTACTCAAATTAACTTTCAACCCAATTTTATATCTTTTGTCTATTATGGCATTTTTGAGTCACTGTGGTCCTAGTGTGGCTAATAAATATGAATATTCTTTATACTAGTGGATTTTTTCTGAATAAATTTTATAACTGCAAGCCTAGGATAGAGACAAAATATACATATATTTTTAAGAGGAGGATGAGGAAAAGGAAGTATGAGAAGAAACATAATCAAGACCTGTATTTTCTTTGTTTTCATTCTATCCTTTAAGGAATTTCTAAAAATTAAAGGGTTATAAAAGATTGTCAGTCTTTCACATCTCTGGAAAGTGCCATTACCTGAGTCCAGAACAGATACTAAGTGTCACAGCTGATTTTGGTGTCTCCATGGCATATCCTTGATAAAAGCAATGGCCCTAAATAGAAGTATATAAAGGTACATGCATAAATGACTTGAAAACAAAGTTTTGGGTTTTATACTACCTTCCTAGACATTATGAAATGTGCAGATTTATTTAGTAACCAATATTATTCACCAGATATCCCATTTTCTTTTGATCTACCTACAATTTCTTCCTCTTAACACTCTTCTGTCTATGAATCCCCCTAAATGATCCTTGCTATAATGCTAAATTCTATAATTTTGACAGAAGCTTCTAGAATTGAAGGATATATTAAAGAGCTTCCCAATCAAGAAAAAGCTAAAGTAGTTTGTTACCATCAAACCAGTATTATATGAAATGTACTAATTCTTTAAGAAGAAAATATAAAAAATATGAACAATGAACAGTAAAATGTCAATAAATACATAACTATCAACAACTAAACCTAAAAAATAAACAAACAAGCAGAACAGAAACAGAAAAAAAAAGAATAAACCCTAATGTATGCTATCAGATGTAATTAATACTTATGTATCAATATTGACTCACAAATTGTAACCCAACTACCACACTAATACAAGATGTTAATAATATGGTAACTAAGAAGTTGGGAGGGAACAGGGGAAGTTTCTACTTTATCTTTCTTAAAGCTAAATTTGCTGGGGAAAAAAATAACATGTATTAATTTTTTAAAAGATATTATTGAGAAAATAAAAAGGCAAGCCATGAACTAGATGAAATATTCACAATAAATATATTTTATTTTGTTTATTTATTTTTAATTTAAATTTTATTTTTTATTACAGTTTATATTAATGTTATTTTGTATTACTATCAGTGTACAGCATAGTGATTATACTTTACAATGTGTTTCACTTGATATTTTCAGTACTCACCTGGCACTATACATAGTTATTGCAATATTATTGACTATATTTTCTATGCTATACTCTACATTCTTCTGATTATTCTGTAACTACCAATTTGTACTTCTTAATCCATTCACCTTTTTCACCCAGTCCCCTAAGACCCTCCCCTCTGGCAGCCATCAGTCTGCTCTGTAGCTATGTTTGTTCTGTATCTATGTACAGTAAATATATTTTTAAAAGAATTTGTATCCAAAATATAAAAGAGATATTACAACTCAGTAATAAAATATATATAACCTGATTAAAAGTGACTAAAATTTTTTATAAAAATTTACTATAAAGTACAATAATCAAAACAATGAGGTACTGTAATAGGAGAGACATATATAGACCAATGGAACAGAATTAAGAGTTCAGAATAGTCTCATCAACAAATTGTGCTAGAAAAAATGAATATCCATATGCAAAAGATAATTTTCACCTTATTAATCATCCTTAGTTCAAACTCTCATCCCCATGAACTTACATAGCATTAGTCTTCCCAGGTCCCCCCCCCCCCCCAATATTCTCTTTCTGTGCTCATTCCCATTTTGTCCCTTAAAAGTCTAGTGAAACCTAGAATCAATCTTGTTCCTTTATTAATCCTGTGTTATTAAAACATTAGTAACATCACATTCCCTCCTATGGATTTGTTTATGCATTTTAAACTCCCAGAGATACATCTCCATTAGTAACCATTTGCTTTTTCTCAAAACTGGGCCTAACCACTATCTCCCACCCACTTACAGAAGCTGAACACATCCTGCTTCATGCCAAGCAACAGCTTCAGCTACCTGGAGCTGCACTGATGCCAGCAGCCATTGTCGCTGCAAGCCCTTCACAGAGTAGAAGGTTTCTTGAAGTCTACACAGAATCAGAGAGCAATTCAGACTCTCAGCTCCTGGCCTTGTATCCAGTCAGAGAAAATGATCCTCATGAGAGATTTCTCAACATCTCCAACTCTAATCAATGAAAAGTGCCTTCGTTAGGATCTTTCTTAACCAAGAGACACTAGCAGAGATCAAGAAAGAAGCACACTGACATCTAGTGGCTGGAGAACAGCCTGAGGAAATGCTCTCCGTCTCATGCGTTCATCACCCAACTCCACCTAGCAATACAAGTTGGCCCAGCAAAGTACTTTTTACCACTACGGGGTGCACCAGCAGAAATCCAGCAGGATCTCCAGTGAAGCACAACAAAATGATATTAAAAAACTCAAGAAAGCTCAATTGTCATTGGAACAATAGAACACACTAAATCTACACTGAAACTGGATGACTACTTTTAAATGTAGATGATTTATACGAGAAGCATGCAACTTAAAATCACACACTATACCAACAACCAAGAAAATCAAAGCAAAAATGAGAGAAGACAACCAACTGATGCCAATATTGTGATGACCACGTGTTGAAATTATCAGGCAAAGATTTTAAAACAGCTATGAAAATGTGTTTCAATAAACAATGAAATTAAATTCTTGTCAGAAAGATGGTGGAGTAGAAAACCCTGGCTTCCTCATCCCCCAATAAACACACTAACTCAGAAACAATTCACAGAAAAAGTCCCATTGTGAGAAATCATTAACTAATTGAAAGCCTCCTGCACACCCTGGAAGAGTGCAAAATCGGATTTACCAAAGCCAGTAGGGGTGTTTGGGATACGCTTTTACCAGAGACGGCCCCCAGAACACGGCCCTGTAATCAGAAAGAAATCCTGTAGTTCCCACCTTGACTCAGGGGAGGAAAGCGGTTTGTTCACAAGTCCAGTGTCCTAATGATTCTGAGGTATTACCTAAAGAAATAGTATCTGTACACCAGTCTTGGAGCTCTGATGAGTTCAGCACAGTCTAGCCACACAGGCAACAATGAAGGTGGTGGCTACTAGACACCATTGATTCACTCTCACCCTAATTCTGCACAGAGTGAGTGGATAAAAAAATACCAACTCTCTGATTCCTCCTAGGGTAGAAAACAGTTTATCCATGCATGCAGTGTCCCCACTTCACCAAAATTGCCCAAAGAACTAGCATCTGTTGCACCAATCCTGGAGCACTGTTGGGTCTGGCACAATCTAGTTGTCAGGGAAAGAACAAAGGCAGCAGCTTGGGATGGTAAATGACACTGATTCTTTCTCCTGACCATCACAGAGAAAGGAGGGGAAAAAAACACACCTGCTTTGCCCTGAAGAAGGAGAAATGTTAGTAAAAGCCCCCAAATCACTTTCCAGCATGTTTAGTGGGATCCTCTTCTGTCCTTCCACAAAGTGAAGTAGACACCAAAACAGAACATTAATAAAACAAAGAATCAGGAAAATATATCTCAAGCAAAGGAATAAGATAAATCTCCAAAACTGACTCCTAATTAAATGGAGTTTAATGATTTACCTGACAGAAAATTTAAAATAGCTCTTATAAATATGCTCACTGAGGTCAAGAGAACAGTGCAAAACTTTCTGATCAATGAGAGACCTTATGAAAAGACAAATTAAAATATGGGAGAAAATATTTCTGTACCACATATCTGGTACAATACATATCTGCATAATATATTATCTGTACTTAGAATATATAAATTGCTCAAAAATAAGCAATTAAAAATCAAGCAATCAAACTAGAAAATTGGCAAAAGACATTTAATAGATATTTCACAAAAAAGGGGACAATTAAGAACATGAAAATATGTTCACATCATCAGCCATTATGGAAATGCAAATCAGAATCACAGGAGATTCCACTACACATCTATCAGAAGATAAAAATATTTTGTTTTTGTTTTTTATCTTGAATAGTGATCAAACAGTTGCAAGAATGCAGACGCTCATCTCTCATATATTGCCAGTGGAAATGTAAAATAGTAAAGCACTCTGGCAACTATTTTGATAATTTCTATTAAGATATAAACATATACTTACAATATGGCCTGCTACTCATATACCCGAGTATATATTCCAGAGAAATAAAAATTTCAATTTTATCTAAACTACCAGATTTATTGGTATAAAGCTATTATAATACTCCCAAATATTTATTATTCTTTATGACCAATATTTCTTTTCATCCCTAATATTGATGAAATTAGTTTTTATTTTGAAGAGGTCTTACTAGGGTTATTAAATTTCAGTCCTTTTAAGGGACTAATTTCTGGGCTTTAATTTTTTCTATTCTTTTTCCTTCTTCTATCTCATCTATTTCTGCCCTTATATGTATTCCTGCCTTCCTCTACAATGTTATTATCCTTTACAGAGTATTGCATTTTGCACTGGAAAGCAATTAGTTTAATGGTAACTCTCCTTACTTTTTTCATTGCTGGGCTTCAGGCTATGAGGTGAAGAATGGAGGTGATAAAAATATCCCTTACTCTAGATCCTTTCTTCTAAGGAGTAGGCTTTCTGGTCTCAGCTGAATGCCTGGTCACATTATGCTGCCTGGGCTGAAAACTCCAGGATCCCCCAACACTGTTTGACCTATAGCAGTGATTTTCAACCAGTGTGCCACAGAATTTTTAGTCTGGGGAACTGTCCTCTTTTCCCTTAGATTATCAAATAAAAAAAAAAATGACAACAGCCAACACAATAGCCATCCAGTGTGAATGAATCAAATTTATACCTATTTTTTGTCAGGTTGGCAAAAAGTATTATATAATTTTTGGTATGCAGATTTTTTATAATTAGTTTATGTGTCTATGAGATGAAAAAAGTTAAACCTATAGTATCATCTCCACTTTATTCTCTACCCTTCAGTAAAGTCTTACCCAGCACACACGCAGCCTAATCTTCACTCAAGGACATAACTCCCCTCCCGCAAAATACATACATCCAATAGGCTCTCCTCATCTCTTTCTCATCCAAATCCCAACTGCTTCAGCATCCCTGAACTTCAATCTCTTAGAAGTCTGCTTATTTCCACCTCCCTATGCTATACTTCAGACATTATTCCCAGTCAGAGGACCAAGATAAATGTGAGACTCACCTTCAATGTGTCTTCTCTCTCAGAGAGAAAATCACTGATCTGTGTATTGTCAAATAGGTCCCTCATGTAAAATAGTTTGTTGTGCTTTCTACTTGTAGATGTTGAGTATGACAGATGCTCTACCAGTTACCATATTTTAATCTCTCAATTGCAATAACGGAATAGAGTCTGACCAATCACTTGTCAAACACTGGTTTCTTCCAAGTCATGTGTTCTAGCAAAATAAGACTCTTACAGAATAAAGCTAACTTTCTCACATGCTTTGAAAATTTTCTTGACTCCTACCTGCATTTTGGGATACAATTCAAAATCTTATGTTTCATATGTGAACATGTTCAGTTTCTGTACCCAGTACGCTTTTGTACTTTCACTTTCCCAGTGGTCATGCCTTAATTTCTACCAGTACCTCCACTGCTTAAATCCTATCGTATCCATTTTAACTGTTCAATGTGTTGATGGTTTTTGTTAGCTCCTTCACCTATTTTTTGTTTGTTTCCTTTAATACTTCCAGATAGTTTAAATAACCTTCTTGGATAAGTAATTCCTGAATTTTAAATTTAAAAAGTAGATGTCTTATTCATTATGATTTTATTGTAATTGCTACATTATATTTGGATTAGTAATCTGTTTGCTGAATAATTCTGTGGAGTACAAAATATTTTTTTCCCAGCAATAGCACTTTAAGAACATAAAAAAAAAATGTAATCTACATAGAGTAAAAGCAAAACTTGCCTTTATAAATGAAGAATCTGGATACACTGTTCCTGATCTGTTGTATGAATATATCAGGAAATGAGGGTCTACAAATGACCTAATTCAACCAAGATAACGATACTTCATTGTAATCATTTCATTAATAAAAGTAACTTTCAGAATCATGAAATAAAACAAAATTTACTTTCAATTATACAAGCTGAAATATCCAAAATATTAAATCAACTCATCTCTCCATTACTTAGTTTGCTTTCTGATAGCATGATGTACATATGAGACAAAATAATAACCACTATAAAGAGATACCAGTATGGATGCTGTAATGACACAGCTTTATTCATAGTAAAAACCAGAGGTTCCAAATTCCAGCAACAAAGTTTTCTTTTAGATTTAACCATCAATAAATCTAATAGCATAAATTTGCTAGTTAATATTTGCTAGCAAGTAGCTATCAACTGATAAAGACAAAAAATATATATGCTTTTATCATTAGTTTTCACAAATTTATGCTGTGGTAAAAACCATCCCAGTATTCTCCTGGCTTTAAAATAATAATGAATATTCTTCACAATTTTACTGCAGGTTCAGCTCCACACTACCTTGGTTCTGGAACCCAGAAAAACACATGAACCCCCCTTGGAACACACCTTTCTTATAGCAGAAAGAGAAAAAACTTGTACAAGTACACAATAGTTCTTGAAGCTTTTGTTTAGAAGAGGAATATTAGTGTTGTGCTCATATTTAATAAGCTATCCTGAAGAATCTCTGTAAACAAACTTGACGTAAAGATGCTACAGAAGTTTAACGTTCTTACCAGGGGAAAAAAGTGATTATCATGGAACAATCTAACACCATTATTTATTGTAGGGAGACTGGAATTTCTCAAGGATTCCAAACACTAAAGGCATTTCAAGGCCAGAATCCAGAGCGATTAGAGCATCCACATGGCAATTTCAGTCACCAGGACTTCTCTTTCTGCATTGGCTTAATTTTCTCTTATTCGTGGTAACTTCTTCTTTTCCTCTATTCAAACAACAAAACTAGAGGGCTTCCCCCAGGAAAAATAGATATTTATCATTTCACATTGGATATATATTTTTAAGGAAAAACTCTGAATGGCATGGACTGGTTCAGGTGCAAATGCCTGAAGCATGAAATCTGGCCCAAAGCCAGAGCAACATGTTAAAAGCTGTGGGCCTGTACATAGGCGTGGTGGAAATGGGAATCCAGAGCAGTCCCCAGAAAAAGGAAATAAGAGGTTGAAAAACTTATCAGATATCTTACAAACATAAGAGGATAAAACCTAGTTTGCTAGTTAATTCACCCTGGGCCCTCAAAATATACGTTTTGCTTCCATGTGAAACAACAAAACAATCTGGCTTAATCAGTGACATCATAAAAATACAAATGACCATTCAAAGGAAAATAAGATCCAATGTAAGGAAAAATGAACAACAAAAAGGAGGAAAGCAAAACTTGAAAGTTAGTTTCTGAAGAAGTGTTAAGAATTGAAGAAAAAAATCATAATTCAAGAAAAGTTAAGAAGATTTCAAAGGATACCAGTTCAAGAAAAAGAAAAAGAAGAAAAAAAAGAACACTCTGACTCTAAAATACATGACAGTTAGAATTGACTACTTCAATAAATAGAGAATTTGGTTACAGAGAACACATTAAAGGTCCAGTCAATAAAGATAACAGATAATGGTAAAATACACAGCAAAAAATAAAAAGTTAGAAATAGTTATAGAAAAACCTATGATATAGAAGGAAGAACAACAACAACAACAAAAAAAACAAAACAGGATGAAACCACATATTTCCCATGGAATAAATAATGTGTGAAGAATTAAAAGTAAAATAAAAAATTAAGAGACTTATGATATATCAGGGATGGTTAATATAACACCACACATACAGAGAACACACTGGAAAATTTACTTATGATGGACTATATCAAATTACAAGAATTTATTGCAAAGGAATATGACTCACAGTTCTTCACATTGCCAAGATGTTACTCAATTAGGAAAACAAAGGACATTTGAAGATTTGCACAAATTCAGAAAACATACTATCTGCATATTCTATCTGAAGAATATATTGCAAAAATATTTTAACTAAACAATACCTGACTAAGCATAAAATTGCAATAAAAGAAAGAAAAGGAAGCAGTGATAAAACTTGGAAAATGAAAGACAGTTTAGCAATCAAAAGCTTTGGATTTCGTCTTAAATGTAAATAGAATTTTTAAAATACTATAGGTATATGATGATATAAATTCAGATATGAGAGACACAAGAAAGAGATCTGAGGACCCATAGAGGAAAATATAAATATAAAGATTATACAAAATTTTTATTTTTATAGCAATAAATCACACACACACAGGAAGAAGACAATCAGTAGGCTGGGTAACACATTTCAACATTTAGAACAGATAAAGGATTATTATCTATGGTGAACAAAAGTCCCCAAAGATTGGTCATAAAAAAAAAGAAATAAGAGCAGAATAAAAACCCATATATTAAAAATAAATACCCAAGACAAATGAATAAAAATAAAAATCCAAAAGAAAAATCAAAAGCTTGGAAAAGCAATTCAATTAGAACGATCAGAAAACACTTGAAAAGATACTACAATAGTGAGAGAAAACTTCCCTAATTTGGTGAAGGCAGAAGCCATTCAAGTTCAAAAAGCACAGAGAGCCCCAAGTAAGAAGAACCCAAACAGGCCCACACCAAGACACATAGTAATTAAAATGCCAAAAATTAAAGACAGAAAGAGAATCCTAAAGGCAGCAAGAGATAAGCAACAGGTTACCTACAAAGAACCCTCATAAGGCTCTCAGCTGACTTTCCAACAGAAACACTACAGACCAGAAGGAAATGGCATGAGGTAGTAAAAGTAATGAAGACAAGGATCTGAATCCAACACTACTCTTCAGCCAGGCTATCATTCAAAATAGAAGGTAAAATAAAGAGCTTCCCAGACAAAAAAAAGACTAAGGGAATATATTAGCACCAAAACAGCACTGCAAGAAATGTTAAAAGGACTGCTGTAATTAAAAAAAGAAATAGGAAGAAAAAATATAACCACAATAAACAAAAATGGCACAAAATAAGTACATGTCAATAATAACCTTAAGTGTAAATGGACTGAATGCTCCTATCAAAAGACACAGAGTAGCAAATTGGATAAGAAAGCATGACTCATATGTATGTTGTTTACAAGAGACCCACCTCACAAAAAAAAGACTCACATAGGTTGAAAGTAATAGGATGGAAAAAAAATCTTCCACGCAAATGGAAAGGAAAAAAGGCTGGGGTAGCAATACTCATATCTGATAAAATAGATTGCAAAATGAAGGTCATAACTAGAGACAAAGAAGGCCACTACATAATATTGAAAGGATCTATCCAGCAGGAGGATATAACCTTGGTAAACATTTATGCACCCAATATAAGAACACTAAAATACATTAAAAACTTCTGGAGGACTACAAAGGAGAAATCAACAACAATACAATCATAGCAGGGAATTTCAACACCCTGCTCACATCACTGGATAGATCCTCTAGACAAAAAATTAACAAGGAAACACAGACTCTAAATGATGCACTATATCAAATGGATTTAACAGATATCTACAGAGAATTACACCCCAAAACTACAGAATTCACATTCTTCTCAAGTGCACATGAAACAGTCTCAAAGATAGATTACACAGTAGGACACAAGCTAAGTCTCTACAAGTTCAAGAAGATTGAAATCATACCAAGTAGCTTCTCAGATCACAATGGCATGAAACCAGAAATCAATTACAATAAAAACATGCAAAGACATTTAAACACATGGAGGCTAAATAGCATGTTATTAAACAATGAAAGGGTTACCATGGAGATCAAGGAAAAATTTAAAACTTCCTGGAAATCAGTGAAAATGAACACACAACAACACAAAATCTATGGGATGCAGCAAAAGCAGTCCTGAGAGAGAATTTCATAGCACTACAGGCCAATCTCAAGAAACAAGAAAAATTTCTAATAGGCTATCTAACCTCACCACTTAGAGAACTTGAAAGCAAACACAAAGGAAAACACACAGCAAGTAGAAGGAAATAAATAGTAAAGATCAGAGCAGAAATAAACAATATAGACACTAAAAAAAAAAAACCAATTCAAAAGATCAATGAAACAAAGAGCTGTTTCTTTGAAAAGATAAACAATATTGGTGGACCCTTAACAAAACTCACCAAATAAACAAAATTAGAAACAAAACAGGAGAAGTAACAACTGACATCACAGAAATACAAAGTATCATTAAAAATATTATGAACAGATTATATTCCAACAAATTGGACAATCTAGGTGAAATAAACAAATTTCTAGAAACACACAGACTCCCAACACTAAGCTGGGAAGAGGGAGAAAACTTGAAAAGATCAATAACAATTAAGGATATTGATGATGTAATCAAGATTCGCCCAGCAAACAAAAGCCTCTGCCCAGTCAGCTTCATGGGGGAGTTTCACCGAACATTCAAAGAAGAAATAACACCAATTCTCCTCAAACTATTCCAAAAAATGCAAAAAGAAGGAAGACTTCCAAATTCATTTTATGCAGCCATCATAATTCTAATTCCAAAACAGGTTAAAGACACTACAAAGAAAAAATTTACTAACCAATATCCCTGATGAACATAAATGCCAAAATCTTTAAAAAATATTAGCAAATTGGATCCAGCAATACAGCAAAAAATTTTTTTATCATGACCAAGTGAGATTCATCCACCTGGTATAGTATTAAGATGGTATAGTACTCATAAATCAATAAATGTGATAAACCACATAAACAAAATGAAAGATAAAAACCATATGATCATATCAATAAATGCTGAAAAAGTATTCAACAAAGTCCAGCACCCATTTCTGATAAAAAAAAAAAAAAAACGCTCAGCAATGTGGGAATAGAGGGATCATATCTCGACATAATAAAGGCCGTATATGAAAAATCTACAGGTAACATCATACGCAATAGGAAAAAAACTGGAAGTATTTTCTTTAAAAACAGGAAAAAGACAGAGATGCCCACTTTTGCCGGTCTTATTTAACATAATACTGGAAGTCTTAGCCACAGCAATCATACAAGAAGGAAAAATAAAGAAGATCCAAATTGGAAAGAAGGAAGTAAAACTGTCATTATTTGCAGATGACATGATACTGTACATAGAAAACCCTAAAGACTCCATCAAAAACCTTTGAGAGCTAATAAATGAATTTGGCAAAGTGGCAGGATACAAAATTAACATCAAGAAAATTGATGGCATTCTTATACACCAACAATAAATTCATAGAAAGAGAAACTAAAAAAACAATCCCATTTACCATTGCGGCAAAAAAAATTAAGATACCCAGGAATAAACCTCAAAAGAAGGGGTAGGGGAAGGGAAGAGTTAGACCACAGAACTTATATGCATGTATGTGTAACCAATGGACATAGACAACTATGCTGAGCGGGGGGCAGGATTGGGAGGAGTGTGTCAATGTGGGAAAAAGGAGAACCATCTGTAACAAAAATAATTAATTAATTAATAAAATGCTCCATTTCTTTTTTTTTTTTATCCTCACCCGAGGACATTTTTCCTTTTTTTTTTTTTTTGTACAGATAAAGTGGGAGGGAGAGAGAGGAAGAGAGAGAGAGAGAAACATCGACGTGAAAGGGACACATCGAGTGGCCGCCACCCGCACGACCAACCAGGGCCGGGGACAAACTGCAACCGAAGTACGTGCCCTTAGCGGGAACCGAACCCGGGTCTCTCAGGACCGCAGGACAATGCTCTAACCGCTGAGCCAAACCGGCCAGGGCAAAATGCTCCATTTCTCAAACATTAAGGATGAACATTTCCTTTTATTTAGAAAAAAATAATAATTTGAATTGTGAAATTGTACTTCTATTAAATAGTGCTTGAAAACACAACAAAAAATAATTATAAAAGAAGGGTAAAATTTAAATAAAAAATTGGGAAAAGATACACACAGACTTATTAATATTAATTTATTAGAGTGAAGATATAAAACAATATGTAAGACATTACAAATACATACTATAGAAAATGAGAAAAATTATTGTAGAATATCAAGCAAAATACTTAAAACCATATAATTATGTGAAGCAACATGAAGACAAACAAAGCTAAACATAGCAAAATAAAATTATTCCCTTAACTGTTGCAATTGTGGTTGCATTTTAAGGAATTATGCAGAGTAATTTAATCTATCCAACATACCTTAATATTTACATCATTAAGTGAGAATTTGGCTTGAAAATTAAATTTCAAATCTCAAAGTCAAAACTGAAATTGCAGTCTGACATGAATCACAAAGAAGATATAACATGTTACATAAATGTAATATTTGTTTTTGTTTAGTCTAAATTACTGCAGTGACTGTACATATTTAAGAAACTAAAAACAACTGTATGAAAATAAGCACTTACTGTTTTTCAAGAAAGAGAGTGTATGTTTTTCTGTTAATTTGGATGGCATAAGTGACCTGCAGCAAAATATTTAGAGAAAGTAATTACTAGAAATGTAAAATACTTAAAAGTCAAAAGCTACCCTTCTACATAAACAGGATTGTACCATGCATATCTCAAAATCACATATACATATAGAAGTATATTGCTTTCTTTATTTAACCATGGAATGTATGACAAAAATTCAAGGAGTCTAAATCTATTTCAAATTAAGGGCATTAGTTATTTGGCATTTATTACATATCATAATCGATTTTTAATTTAAAATGATTACATTTAGAAATACTAAGGAAACTTTGAAGAAATTTGAATTTATTATCTCTTTTCTACTTTGCAGGTTTTAGCACAAATAAATTGAAAATTTGAACAATACAATGCAGGTCTGCTTTTAAGGTTAAAGGGAGCATCCCACAGCTGTCATACGTGCTGTTCTCTTCACTAATTGCCTCAAGTTCCATTTAATGAGAAGCCCACTCATCCCAACTCCAGATTTTCTGATGGGTAATGCCAGCTTCCCTCTTGTTGAGACTCAGTTGATTCTCTCACCATTCCTGTTTTTTCCCCTCCCCTTCCACTGGGCTCATCACAAACACACACCCTAATAAACTTCCCTCACACAAATCCCCTCAGAGACTGCAGCTCAGAGAACCCACTCTGGAACGTCATCATAAAACGTGCACTTTTGTGGGTAGCATATAGTTAATTCTGGCAAATGTTCCATATTTGCAAAGAATGTCAGTTTTGTCACTGGGTGCAGTTTTCTGTAGATGTCATTTTCAACCTTCTAGTATTCAGTCTTCTGTAATCTATTCAAAAAGGTGTGTTGGTATTGCCAAGATTATGGTGACATTATTTCTTTCCGCTTTTAATACGCAGGTTTTTGCCTTGCATTCTTTAGAGCTTTGTTGTTGGGTGCAAACAGATTTAATATGGTGATATCTTCAAGAAAATTTGCGAAGAAAGAAAAATGGCGGCGGAGTGAATGGAGCTACACAGACCATCTCCCAGGACCAAACTGGATTCACAACGAAAATAATGGCAAATCTTCAGGAAGGGGCAACCGAAAGACACCTTGGAGGACCACATAACCAGGGACAACGACTCAATCCTGGTAGGCTTGTGAGGACACGAGAGGGGGCCGGGAGCCCACGGTCCGCAGTGGCCTGGGCGGGGACCAGGGGGCTGGGCGGGAAGTTGCTGCTAACGCCTCGGCTGCGACCCCGCCTGAGTCCTGCGAACTCTGCTGCCTGCCAAGCCCTAGGCTGGTGCCGCACAGACTGGCTGGGACCAGGGGACTCGGCGGCGGGAAGTTGCTGCTAACGCCTCCACTGCAATCCCGCCCGAGTCCTGTGAACTCTGCTGCCTCCTAAGCCCTCGGCTGGTGCCGCATGGACTGGCACGGACTGGCTCTGACCAGGGGACTCGAGGGGCCGCTGCTACCGAGGCTGACTCCTGCGAACTCTGCATGCTAAGCCCTCAGCTGCTGCCGCACGGACTCCCTGGGATCAGGGTACTCTGCTGGAAGATGCTGCCACCCCAGCAGTGTCCCTCTACTGTGGCTCAGACCTGGGGCTTCTGCTGAGTGCAAAACCCTCTGCTGGTGCCACAGCCACGGCCGCCCTTGGCACGAAGCAGCGCTCTCGGGTTAAAAGTCCCAGACGGCTCCACAACGCAGAGTCTAGACAGAGGCTAAATTGGCAGCAGCCACTCACCTCGGGCTCCAGTAGAGAGAAGGCAGACTGGACTGGAACTGTGTGGGGACACTCAGGTTTTGGAGGGTGCTAAGAGCTTTCGCTGAGTGCAGCCACGCAGGACTGTGGTCATTTTACTCCTTCCCAGGGCCCTGGGGAGAGGCAGAGGACCCTCCCTCAGAGATTCAATCCCACCTGGTGGCTATTGAAATGCTAATTGAGGCCCATTAACAACCAGCAGCTGCCCCACCCTTGGGAAATCCTCTTACACTGAGCACCTGAGAGAGTTTTTCAGGCAACTCAGAAACCAAGGGTCTTCAGGTGACCTCTACTAATAGCCTATAGGCAAAAAAAAAAAAAAAAAAAGCTAGAGGATAACTACCACTCCCCGGGCTAGCAACACAAACCAGAAAAGCTAAGACTTGAAGGTGGTGTTTAAAGTGGGTCCTCCCTGGCTCATCCAAACCCAGGAGAGGGAACCACAAAGAGCAGAACACCAACACCCACAGGGAAAATTTGGCAGATTCCAAAGCCCACTGTGATAGCCAAAATGGTGAAAAACAGAAACAAAAGCCAAATGAAAGAACAAGAGACCCCTACGGAAGATGAGCTAAATGAGGTACAGTTAAGCAAGTTAACAGAACTAGAATTTAGAGCCATGATGTTGAGGAAGCTCAACAGCATATGTAAGGTTATGAGCACCATGAGTAAAGACATAGAAATGTTGAAAATGAACCAGTTGAAAATTAAAAACCAACAGGAAGAAATGAAGAATGACATATCAGAAATGAAAAACACATTGGAAGGTCTAAAAAGCAGAGTAGGGGAAGCTGAGGACCGGATCAGAGAATTAGAAGACAGGCTAGAAAAAAATCAACCAATCAGAAAACCAAAAGGAAAAAACGATTAAAAAACAGGAAGACAGCTTAAGAGAACTGTGGGACAACTGGAAACAGAATAATATTCGCATCATAGGAGTCCCTGAAGAAGAAAATAAGCAAGGGTTAGAGAATATACTCAAAGAAATAGTGACAGAAAACTTTCCTAATTTGGTGAAGGAAGGAGGTATTCAAGTTCAGGAAGCTAAGAGAGCCCCAAGTAAGAAGAACCCAAACAGGCCCACACCAAGACACATAGTAATCAAACTGCCAAAAATTAAAGACAAAGAGAGAATCCTAAAAGCAGCAAGAGATAAGCAACAGGTTACCTACAAAGGAAACCCCATAAGGCTCTAAGCTGACTTCTCACAAGAAATACTACAGGCCAGAAGGGAATGGCATGAAGTAATCAAGGTTATGAAAAACAAGGATCTGAATCCAAGACTATTCTACCCAGCAAGGCTATCATTCAAAATAGAAGGTCAAATAAAGACCTTCCCAGACAAAAAAAGGCTAAGGGAATATATTAGCACCAAACCAGCACTGCAAGAAATGTTAAAAGGACTGCTGTACTTAGCAAGAGAAATAGGAAGAAAAATAGAACCACACTAAACAAAAATGGCAATAAATAAGTACATATCAATAATCACCTTAAATGTAAATGGACTGAATGCTCCCATAAATGACACAGAGTAGCTGATTGGATAAGAAAGCATGACTCATCTATATGTTGTTTACAAGAGACCCAACTCCCAACAAAAGACTCACATAAATTGAAAGTGAAGGGATGGAAAAAAGTCTTCCAAGCAAACGGAAAAGAAAAAAAAGCTGGGGTACCAATACTCATATCTGATAAAATAGTTTCAGAATGAAGGCCATAATTAGAGACAAAGAAGGCCACTACATAATATTGAAAGGATCTATCCAACACGAAGATATAACCTTGACAAAATATATGCACCCAATATAGGAGCAGCAAAATATATTAAAAAACTTCTGGAGGACTTCAAAGGAGAAATTGATAGCAATACAATCACAGCAGGGGACTTCAACACCCCGCTGACATCGCTGGATAGATCCTCTAGACAAAAACCTAGCAAGGAAACAGAGACTAAATGAAGCACTAGACCAAATGGATTTAATAGATATCTACAGAGAACTACACCCCAAAACTACAGAATTCACATTCTTCTCAAGTGCACATGGGATATTCTCAAAAACAGACCACATGTTAGGGCACAAACTAAGTCTCTACAAGTTCAAGAAGATTGAAATTATATCAAGCATCTTCTCAGATCACAATGGCATGAAACTAGAAATCAATTGCAAGAAGAACATACAAAGAAATTTGAACGCATGGAAGCTAAATAGCATGTTATTAAACAATGAATGGGTCACCGAAGAAATCAAGGAAGAAATCAAAAATTTCCTGGAAACCAATGAAAATGAAGACACAACAACACAAAATCTATGGGATGCAGCGAAAGCAGTTCTGAGAGGGAAGTTCATAGCACTACAGGCCTACCTCAAAAAACAAGAAAAATCTCTAATAGACTGTCTAACCTCACAACTTAAAGAACTAGAGAACAAACAAAAAGAAAACCCCAGAGCAAGTAGAAGGAAGGAAATAGTAAAGATCAGAGCAGAAATAAATGACATAGAGACCAAAAAAACAATTCAAAGGATCAATAAAACAAAGACCTGGTTTTTTGAAAAGATAAACAAGATTGGTGGACCCTTAGCTAGACTCACCAAGAAACAGACAGAGAGAACCCAAATACACAAAATAAGAAATGAAAGAGGAGAAGTAACAACACCACTGAAATACAAAAGATCGTTAACAACAACTATGAACAATTATATGGCAACAAATTCGACAATCTAAGCGAAATGGACAAATTTCTAGAAACACATAGTCTCCGAAAACTAGATCAGGAAAAGATAGAAAACTTGAACAGACCAATAACAATAGAAGAAATTGAAGATGTAATCAAGACTCTCCCAGCAAACAAAAGCCCAGGCCCGGATGGCTTCACAGGGGAGTTTTACCAAACATTCAAAGAAGAACTAATACCCATTCTCCTCAAACTATTTCAAAAACTTCAAGAAGAAGGAAGACTTCCAAGCTCGTTTTATGAAGCCAGCGTAATTCTAATTCCAAAACCAGAAAAAGACACAACAAAGAAAGAAAACTACAGGCCAATATCCCTGATGAACATAGATGCCAAAATTCTGAACAAAATACTAGCAAATTGATCCAGCAATACACCAAAAATATTATCCACCATGACCAAGTGGGATTCACCCCAGGGATGCAAGGCTGGTAGAATATTTGCAAATCCATAAATGTGATACACCACATAAATAAAATGAAGAATAAAAACCACATGATAATATCAATAGATGCTGAAAAAGCCTTTGACAAAATCCAGCATCCATTTCTGATAA